CACAATATCATGCTTCTGTCTAAAAATTATTAGATGTGCAAAGAAACAGAAAAAATGTTTTATACTCAAGAAAAAAATGACTTAACAGTTACTTAGCACAAATATTCAACTGAGCAGACAAACATATGGAAGCAGCTATTATAAATATGGCAAGTAACTTTTTAAGAAAACCTTTGAACAGATAGCAAATCTCAGTAAATTAGAAAAATCAAAGAAAAACAAATTGGTAATTCTATAGTTAAAATGTACCATAACAAAAGAAGAATTCACTAGATGACCTAAACTACAGATTTGAAATGACAAAAGATTTTTTAAAAAAAATAGAACTTATAGATTAATGCAAATTAACCAAACATAAAACAGTCTGAAACAAAATGAACAGAACCTCCAGTTTGCAGGACAATATCAGGTGTTTAACAAATGTCTAAATAGGGTCTCAAATGATAAGGACACATTGAAAGGGTCAGAAAAAATATTTGTAGAAAAAACTGGCTGAAAACTTGGCAAATTGTTTGAAAAATACTGGCTTACAGATTTAAGAATTTCCATGAACCCGTAGTAAAATAAACACAAAAACACTTCACTCAGGCATGTTGTGGTAAACTGTTGAAGATGAAGAGAGAATGCTTGAAGTAGAAGGAGAAAAAAACTCATATGTAAGGGATTTCATACTACAATAAAGGTGAACTTCTAATAGAAATAATGACAACCAAAAGACACTGAAATAAGATAATGTGAAGTGCTGGAGGGAAAAAGATGTGACAACCAACAGTGCTATATCTAGCAAAACTATCTCTCAAGAATGAAGGCAAAATAAAGGATACTTCCAAATAAATACATAGCAATAATGGATTACTAGCAAACCTGCTGTGCAAGAAATGATAAAGGCAGTTCTTCAGGCTGACACAAAAGATACCAGATGGTAACTGGAAACTACAGGAAGGATAAAATCAGGGAGAATGGAAAATAATGTGGCCAAATTACCACAAAAGCAAACTCAAAAGAGGTAAGCACAACATTCAAGCCACATTTTCTTTGCAATTTGCCCATTCTCTAAAATTAGAACTTTTGTTCTGAGAAGGACAAAGATGAAAGACTACCCAAGAGGAGAACCTAATAAAAATAGGAGACCCTAAATGATGTGCCCTCACAGTGAGGGTGAATTGGAAGTAGAACAGCCCTGTGGAATTATAGACAGAAATCAATCCTTTGGGACTTTAGGGAATTTCAAGTCTTAAATTTGGTTTAGTTTGCCTTATTCTAAGACATTTGCCAGGTGCCTGGCAAAATCACCTTTGTAAGGAAATAGTTTCATTGTAAAACTCATGTTATTCTCACAGATAATTTTTCAGATATAGTATTCATCATGCAACCAAAGATAAATAGGCACATAAGTAAATTAGACTTCCATCAACAAGCATTAACAAAAATAATAATGAAAATAGACTCCTTATTGGAATTACATGTAAACTGTAAAATAACCATGCTTAGCATATTTAGCAGTACAAAACATTTGAAGGTAGTTAGGGAAAAAAAAAAGGAAACTATAACAGTAAGCATATTTGGGAAAGACACAATAAAATTTGTAAAAAAAAAAAAAAGTATTATAATTGATTTTAAAAACTCAGCCAGTGGGTTAACACCAGATTAGTTACAGTTTGAAGACAGAATTAATGAACAAAAGATAGATGACAAGAAAAACCTGTTACGTAGCACAGAGAGACAAAAGGCAAAAAACATAGAAGAGAGAGTAAGAGAAATAGAACATAGACTGAGACTCTCTGGTGTATGTTTAATCAGACTTCCAGGAGGAAAAGAATGGAGCATGTACAATTTTTGAAGAGCTAATTGTTAAGAGTTTGACAAAAGTGTTGAAGAACAGCAATCTCTAGATTCAAGGAGCCTGGTGAATTCCAATTCAGTGAAGTCCTAGCAAGAAAAATAAAAATAAATCTGTTCTAGACACATGTGAGAAATACTGTAGAATAAAAAGTGAAGATAATCTTAAATGCAGTTGAAGGAAACTGATAGAGTACCTTCAAAGGAATAGCAGTAATGGAAGCCTGAGGACAGTGGAACAATATTGCCAATGTGTGCAAATAACTGTTGATCCTAGGACTTAATATCAAGTGAAAATTTCCTTCAAAAATGAAGGCTAAGATAAATATTTTCTGACAAACGCAAACTGGGATAATTCACTACTAGTGGTTCCTTATGAAAAGAAATTCTACCTGTATTCAGGTAGAAGAAAATGATCCCACATAGAAGGTCTAAGTTCAATAAGGCTTGATAAAATAATGAATATTCAAATAACACTTAAATGAGTATTAACTATAACATAATAGAAATAATACCTGTGGGATTAAAGTATTATAATTAAATTATAGATTAATAACAGCTGGGTTAAAAAGGATCACTTCTGCTTTGGGTGGCGGAGATGAGAGTATCGCTTGAGACCAGCCAAGGCAACATAGTGAGACCTTGTCTCTACAAAAAATTAGCTGGGCATAGTAGTACATATCTGTAGTCCTAGCTACTCAGGAGGCTGACACAGAAGGATCACTCAAGCCCAGGAGTTCATGATTACAGTGTGCTATGATCACACCACTGCAATCCAGCTGGGCAACATAGCAAGACCTTGTCTTAAATAAGTAAATAAATAAATACATAGTTATTTCATAAAATTAAAAAGGTTTAGTTTAGTTCTGCACCTAACATAACTTCAAAATAGTAAATATTGACCGATCTTCAAGGAAAAATGGGTAAATCTATCATGACTATCGATATAATAATCTATTAAACTACTTGGTTTATTTTTGACCTCTTCTGTGTGTAATATTGAGCAATTACCTACTTTCAAAAACTAATTTTCTGTCTTATTAAAAGTTGTTTGACAACGCTGTTTTATATTATTTTTTTAAGAGATGGGATCTTACTTTGTCTCTCAGGCTGGAGCATAGTTCACTGAAGCCTCAGACTTCTAGGCTCAAGCGATCCTCTTGCTTCAGCCTCCCAAGTAGCTGGGACTACAAGCACATGCCACTGTGCCTGACTAATTTTTAAAAACAATTTTTTGTAGTGACAGGCTGTCACTTTGTTGCACAGGATGGTCTCAAACTCCTGGGCTTCAAGTGATCCTCCTGCCTTGGCTTTCCAAAGTGCTGGCATTAGGTGTGAGCCACTATACCTGGCCAACAATCCATTTTTAATGACAGCCTCATTTTTAATTATTTCTGGTTTTAATTTGACCTATTTAAAATTTGAAATATGCATGGAATTATGTTGCCTGAACATTTAATTGTTTAACCTATTCTCAATTTTTAGACATTTGTTTTCAGTATTTTTCTGTTGATATTATTACAAGAATCATTATAGATAAGTGTTTTTATATACCAGTGAGTATTTATGTGAAATAAATTCTTATATAGTTAATTATGGTTCCATAGTATATATACAATTTTAAGGCCTTTGCAGAGTGGCTTTCCAGAAACTGCCATTTGCAGTTCTCACAGCAGTGTGTGAATAAGCATATCCATCTATGTGAATAAGCATATCCAGCACTGCACCTTATCATTTTAAAATATTTTGTTGGATGCTAAAAAAAAATCTTGTTTTGATGTACATTTTTTCATTGTTAGTAAGATTAAACATTTTTATTTGATTTTTTTAGAAATCCAAGATGGCTGTGTTTACATTTATGTCTATTAAATATCTAGTCTTCTATTTAAATTTTTCTGTAGGTAATCGTAACCAGATTTAGTGCGAATTGTACCTCAATAGAGTCAGTAAGATTCTGGGTAGATTCTAATGTGAGGTTCACCGCATCTGTGTTTTGGGGTGCTATGATTAAAAACCCCTTTTTGGGTAGGAACACTCAAACATCAAAGGCAAGGTGGGTGTGGTTAGTGTAATGACAGAAAGTCAAGACAACAATCACAGTAATTTGAATTATTCAGACCTGTGGTGTTTGCTAGTTGATCATGGTGTTGTCTAGAAGCCTACTAAAATCTTACTTGATTTGTATAAGCAGAAAGTCCTGTATCAAGTGAATAAAAGCCTAGGTTGAATCATAAAAACAGAGAGTCCTGGCCACTCAGTCAATTCTCACACATGAGTCTTTGTAGACCCAGGACCCCTTTAATGAAGGAGAGGCCAGGTGCCCTCAAGAAAAACCCTAGTATGCTACCTAAAATTTATACTGTTACTCTTTCTCCTAGCCTTCTGCAAAGGGAACCATGGCCTTTATCAGGGTAACAGTTCCCCATGTTCGCTGGGGAAAAACAAATAATCACACCTTTTAGGGACTACTGGACACCGGTTCTAAATGAACACAAATTCTGGAAGACCCAAAACATCACTGTGGCCCTCCAGTTAGAGTGTGTGTGGGGGATCAGGCGATCAATTAAATTTTGGCTCAGGACCATTTCACAATGGGTCTGGTGGATCCCTGGATGCTTCCTGTGATTATTTCCCTAACTCCAGAGTGCTTAATTGAAATTAACACACTTAGCGGCTGACAGAATCCCCACATTAGTTTCACAACCTGTGAATTTAGGCTATTATGGTAGAAAAGGCCAAGTGGAAGCCATTAGAACTACCTTTATCTGGGAAAATAGTAAATCAAAAACAAAAACAAACCAGAAACTTTTTTATTGACTCACAGGTTTGTAGCTGTTCTGTAGAATTGAGGAAACCCAGTGACTAATTTCTACATAAGTGCACTATGCCTGTGGTGTAACTAATTTTTATAATCTTCCATATGTGTGAGCAGAGTCTCTGGGCATTATTTTCTAAAAAGACACAGAAGCTTCAGAAATATTCCCTTTAGTGACCAATGCTTTGTCTTCTGAAACTAAGTAGTTTTTGGAAAATGTATACTGAATATTAATTTTACCAGTATATTGAATATTTACTTTGGAATGTCATAATTTGGAGCAACATGCCCACAATAAAATTATTAGTGTATTGGGGAAAGTATTAATTTTCTTTTTTGTTTCTAGAAACTACCAAGTTTTATATGACAGAGATCATTATTCAGTCATCTGAGAGACGTTTTCCCATCATGCCAAGGTACAAATAGCAAATTACTTTTATTTATTTGTAATTTCTTTTTTTCCCCTATTCAGACCTTTATTTATTTATTTTTTGGTTTTGAATTTATTTTTTTACAATAGGTTTTTGTGGAACAGATGGTGTTTGTTTACATGATAGTGATGATTTCCGAGATTTGGGTGCACCCATCACCCAAGCAGTGTTCACTGTACCCAGTGTGTAGTCTTTTATCTTTCACCTCTCACCCAGCCTTTTCCCCAAGTCCTCAAAGTCCATTTTGTCATTCTTATGCCTTTGCATCCTCGTAGCTTAGTTCCCACTTATGAAGGAGAACATACGATGTTTGGTTTTCCATTCCTGAGTTACTTCAGTCAGAATAATAGTCTCCAATTACATCCAGGATGCTGTCAATCCATTATTTCATCCCTTGTGGCTGAGTAGTATTCTATGGTATATATTTGTAATTTCAAAGGTAGGGAAAAGGAAGTATAACTGATCATTTGGGAATTCATTTTTATTCATACCTTTCTTTATTTGGAAAAGGAAAAAGAAAGCCTTTTAGATAGTTGAACCAAACCACACATATAAAAGATTTGAGGACTTAAAAAAATCTTTTCCTCATATAGTGCTGTAGACAAATGTGCTCTTATAAATCTTCTAATTCTGAAAGTTTTTTATGCTTCTATTTACCAGATATCCAGAATCTTATCACCTAGTCACCAATAAGCTTTTGAATAATTTCTGGTTTTAATTTGAATTATTTAACATTTGAAACATGGGTCAGTTTCAAGTGACTCTTATGGTTTAAAAACATGGTACTTATCTACTAAATCTATTAGTGCTTCTTTGACTCTTTTTAGTTTGCAAACAAGTTAACCATGTATGTCTTTATTCCAGCTTATTTGTTGATATCCAACAATTACGGCAATCTGAGTATAGCCTTGACTTTTATCCTTATGTAAATACTTTGATTCTGTACCTCAAAGCTGACACTTGAGGGAGATCCAAATGGAAAAAAATGTAGACAATACTGTCTGATGTTTGTCAGGAAATCTCTTGCCTTCTTTTGTAAATTGGTTATTATCTCTTTAATATGCTATACCACAAATGGAATATTGACTTGTTCTAACATGGATTTTTTTCATTTAATAGGGGTGAATAGTTAGATTTGGGGTGTAAAGTGTATCAAGGATTGGAGAATAGGTTTTAAGAAGAAGGTAGCAAACCTGAGTACATTAAAATATATTAAAATCCACATCAGTACAGATTGTGAGGGAATGAGCAGTACATAGAAAAGTCTGACATGCGGATGTCTCTGCCTTTTAGGTACCCTGTGGGTATTTTTTGCTTATCTTGCCAGTTAGAGTTATTATGAGACACACATTGTGAAAATTGATTTCTGTTCAAACAGGTCTCAGTTTGTCCAGAGCGTGATTGCCCAGTGTCTGGTGCAGCTCTCCTCTGCTAGAAGCACTTTTAGATTCACGATTCAAGGTCAGGACAACAAAGTGTATATCTTGGTAAGAAATTATTTTATCCAGCTTCTTGTAAGCTAGGAATCCACAGTCTCAGAATTCTTTAGTTTTTTCATTCTTTTTTCTTAATTCTCAGGTGTTGAAAATAAGGGATTAAAAATGTTAATATCATGCTGGGCACGGTGGCTCACGCCTGTAATCCCAGCACTTTTAGAGGCAAAGGCAGGTGAATCACTTGAGGTCAGGAGTTTGAGACAAGCCTGGCCAACATGGGGAAACCCCAGCTCTACTAAAAATACGAAAATTAGCCTGGCAGAGTGGCGCATGCCTGTAGTACCAACTACTCAGGAAGCTGTGGCAGGAGAATCGCTTGAACCTGGGAAGTGGAGGTTGCAATGAGCCAAGATGGTGCCACTGCACTTAAGCCTGGGTGACAGAATAAGACTCTGTCTTTAAAAATGTTAATATCAGTTTAATTCATAAATCAACTCCCTTAATTTAATAACACATGATCAAGTGCCTCTATGTAGGAGGTACTAGGGATACAGAGAGAAAGAAATCCTGATTCCTACTATTTAGAAGCTCATACCACAAAATCAGGTTTTTTCCTCTCAGTTTGTAATGGCCTTTTTGTGGTCACTATAACACTATTCTGTCTCACTTTTTTTTTCCTATTTAGTACTGTTATGTTTAAAACATGTTCTATTGCTCCTGTTTGTTTTTTGTCTTTTGAGACAAGGTCTTAATATCACACAGGCTGGGGTGCAGTGACATGATTATGGCTTATCACAGCCTTGACTTCCCAGGCTAAAGCAATCCTCCCCACTCAGTTTCCTCCCAAATAACTGAGACTCGAGGCGTACTCCACCATTCTCAGGCAATTTTAAAAATTTTTTGTAGAGATGGGGTCTCGCTATGTTACTCAGGCTGGTCTCGAACTCCTGGGCTGAGGTTGTCCTCCCGCTTGGGCCTACCCAAACTGTTGGGATTATAGTGGGATTACAGGCATGAGCCACCAAGCCTGGCCTTCTGTTGTTTTTAAATGCCTCTGATTCTGTGATATTTGAAAATAAATGCCTCTGATTCTGTGATATTTGAGAATCAGTGGCAGTTTTTGAGGAAGAGGTTCTGTGGCTAGCAATCATCCCAGCATGTACCACTAGAATCTAATATTACACTGCCTCTATTAAAAATAGTGTAAGGATTATAAATCGTTCTATTATAAGGACACGTGCACACCAATGTTCATTGCAGCACTGTTTACAATAGCAAAGACCTGGAACCAACCCAAATGCCAACCAATGATAGATTGGACAGGGAAAATGTGGCACATATACACCGTGAAATATTATGCAGCCACCAAAAATGATGAGTTTTTGTCCTTTGTAGGGACATGGATGAACCTGGAAAGCATCATTCTCAGCAAACTGACACAAGAGCAGAAGATCAAACACCGCATGTTCTCACTCATAGGCGGGTGTTGAACAATGAGAACACATGGACACAGGGAGGGGAGCACTACACACTTGGGTCTGTTGGGGGGAAGTAGGGGAGGGTCAGTGAGGGGTGGGGACTTGGGGAGAGATAGCATGGGGAGAAATGCCAGATATAGGTGATGGGGAGGAAGGCAGCAAATCACACTGCCACATGTGTACCTATGCAACAATCCTGCATGTTCTTCACATGTACCCCAAAACCTAAAATGCAATAAAAAAAAATAAAAAATAAAAAGTGTCCTGCAGAAACAAATTTGGGGCATTTATATGGATAACCAAGTATCATGGCCCAATTATCCTCTCTGCTTCTACATCTATTTTATTCAACCAGTAAACATGTATGGAGCATTTCTTATTTGAAAGACACTGTTCCAGGTGCTCAAGGTAGAATACAAATGCCTTCATGAAACTTAAAAGGTAATAGGGAAACATGGTAACAAAAAGGAGGGAAGGGCCTGAGGTTGCTGGTAGATGTGACTCTGTAGCTGGCCATCCATTATGGGGACCCCATGCTCTTCTAAATGCAGATCGTTTCTATGAAAACCTAAAATATTTTCTGACTGATGTTGGTACTAAATATACCTCACAGTTATCAGATAGCAGTTTTAGTTTTTCTTTTATTGTAAGTTTTCAAGTTGAAAATCAGGAATAGGAACTTCTTAAAGTTTCTAACATGTATTTATATTTTTCTTTTTTATAAAAGTAAAATATTTTGGAAACACATTCAGGCAACACGAAGAACATAAAGGTTTTTCCCTTTCCTGCCTTACTATATCATACTATTCAGGGGCAATCAGTATTAACAGTCTGATATGTGTACTCCATTGTTTTTATTCTTTCCATATACAACTATGTATAGGCACACTCCCAGGTGTTTGCCTATTTGTAAAAAAAAAAAAAAAAAAAACAAAGACAGTATTACATGATTAGTGTTTTTCTGCAACTTGCTTGCTTCACATTATGTATCATGAGGATAGTTTTTATTAGTTTCAATATAGGTCTGGCTCTTTAATGACTGGTATTCTGCTATAAGGCTAAGACTGAACTGCAATGAAAATAATTATTGCCTGTATATTTTAGTATTTCTTTAGAAATGCCTCTTTAATATAGTATTATAATTTATATATTTGAAACTTATAAATTTATATAATTTATATATTTGAAACTCATGATTATCACCTTCCAAAAAACTTGTACTAGTTTATCTTTACAGTGGGCATTTTTGGTGAGCCACCCAGACCCCATGCTGGGTTGGCGCACCCATTCCCAGCTGCTGACAATGTTGGCTGATTATGGCTCACAGCTGCCCCCTTCTCCACAGACTTCCTCTTTAGATGACAGGTGTTGCCTTGCATAGATGTTACCTGTCTACCACAGTCCCACCTCCCTGACTCACCCCACCTTGGTCAGCCCACTGCCAGTGATTTGATCCTGGGACACAGAAAGCGAGGGACACTTATCTCAAGGTAGAACAAACTCTGTAGGTGGGATTCATGCTGTAGAAATCCCCCATGGACCAGGCTGAAACCCGACTCCAGATAATTCTATATCCTTAACTAGCTCTTTCCTCTGCCTTATCCCATTTCCTTCCCTTCCTTTCTCCTGTGAGTATTCTCACAGTGAATCATGCGCATCCAAATCCCCAAACACTCTCCCACCAGCAGTTTATGGGATGCTGACTTCAAACCCCTTTTCTGAACTGGATGTTATCAATCCTTTTATATTTGCCAATCTGATAAGTGAAAATTGGTGGCAAAATTTTTGCATTTATTAGTTACATTAAGATTCTAATAAGTGTTTATCATTTATTTCTTCTATTCTGTTCCTATTCTTTGCCTGTATTTTTCTTGGGCTATTTTACCCCTTTATTGAAGCTCTGTATATTATAGATAATAACTTTGTTATATATGTATTATTTTCTCCAAGTCAGTTGTCTTTTTTTTTTGTTTTAACTTTATGTCAGTTGCTCTACCAAATGTTATATTTTGAAAGGCCTACACAACTTTAAAATTATGTACATGATTGTCATATTTATTTTTTCTGGTGTTTTCATAGACTTTTTTTTTTGAGAGGTCATAAGATACAGATAAGGTGACAATATTCTTATACTTGGACTTTCTCTTCACATCTTTAGCTATGGCTTTTAAATTCAGACTGTTTGCTGATTGAATCTTTGAGAAATTCCAAATATATCAAAGCATTCCCCTTGTTGGAAGACACATTGAAAGCACATTCTGGTTCTGCCTGGAGTGCTGTCAAGGTCCTCTACCAGCCATGCATCAAAAGCAGGAATGAAAAGTAAGTTGTGCATTTGTTTTCTCATTCCATATTATGTTTTAGCTTCTGTTGCTATGTTGGTGTTAAGAAATTAATGAATTAAATGCCGCTATACCATTCCCCTACTTGAAGCTTCTGGGAGCCATACTGCTAAATATTATATGTTTCAAATAGGTCACATCATTACAGATGATTCATGTTAATATGCAGAAAGCTTGCTTTTACCAAAAATTATTGTTTTTATTTTCTTGTAATATAAGCTGTCTGTACATATGGCTGCAGTACTAAATCAGACTTCAACAGTGATGAATATTTACAAATAATTACTTTCCAGGCATCAGGATACAATAATGAACAAAACACAGGCCGTACCTCTTAGCATTGTTATTCTAACAGGGGGAAGGCAGATCATAAACAAAACAGACTCATATGTCCCTTACTATGTGTGAGGCACTCATCTAAGAACTTGTAGTTCATTTAAGCCTAACAACAACCTCTGTGGTAGATACTATTATCACCCACATTTTAAAGATAAGCACACTAAGACACTGGTAGTAAATTACTCTAGTGAAAAATGAAGCAAGCTAAGGTAGTTGGTGAGTGGTAGGATGGGTGTAGGATGTTGTCATCTTATATTGCAAAGTCAGGGAAGGTCCCTCAGATTAGGTGAAATTTAAGCAGGTAACTTGAAGGAAGTGAAGTGGTGAGCCATATCTGATGGAAGATCATTCCCAGAAAAGGAAACATCAAGTATTTTTATGGAAACAGATTCAAAGTTTGTACTTGTCCTGTACTCTGAGATGGGTTTGATCAAATTTGTCCTAAGAATGGAAGGATCTTAGTCTTTTTCTGGAAAGTAAATAAGACATTGAAAAAAATTAATTGTGTTTCTTATGCAAGTAGTACCAGTCATTAAAGATTCAAAGACTAAAAACATTTATAAAGTTAAATGTAAAAGTTCTCCTTCATATCCCTCTCTAGAAGTAAAAAGTTTGTTGTGTACTCTTCCACTTCTTTTTCTATTCATTTTGCACCTAAACATAATTAGTTAAAATGTGCTTGATATTTTATGAAATAAAGGTACTATAAATTATTTAGCCATTTTTCTTTTAATGGCTATTTGGTTTATTACCTTTTTGCTGTTATTAGTGTTGTACTCATATATCTGTTTTCTGATTATAAGTTTTTTATATTAGAGGAGTTTCTAGAGGGACAATTATTGAGTCAAAGGGTATGGACATTTAAAATTTTGAGAGGTAATATCAAATTGTTTTGTAAAAAGCCATCATGAATTTATACTCCCACCTGAAGTTTTTATAAATGCCCATTTTTCTGCATTCTCACCCAAATTGCCATTTAGATTTTTGCCAATCTGATGTGATTCTAAAGGAAACAGATTTACTTGACACTATCCTTATATTTTGTTGAGGCATGTTCAAAGGATGGGCCTCAGTTTTATGCTTTTGAGGCTGTTTTAGAGGGTTTGGGTTTTTTTATATTTTTTATTTTTGGTGCCCTTATAGTCAACAACTAAGCTGATTATATTCTTTGTTGGTGTATGTGTGTGTGTGTGTGTGTGTGTGTATACGTACTTTTATATATTTAGGTTTATATCATTAAATTTATTAAAGCCCTTTATATTTACCTTTTCTGTTTATTGAAATGTGGATTTTTGTGACAGGTATGTTGAATCTCACATTATGATTATTTAATTTTCTTCTGTTTTGATACCGGTTTTCACATTATGTATTGTAACACTGTGTTATTAAATAAATAAAAGTTTGTGGCATGACAACTAATTGAATATACTATCAATAGGAGATTTTGCTCTTCTTCAATTTAATGCTAGTTTTTCTTTCATTCTAACTTGCTCTAATGGTTAATATTAAATATCAACTAGCTTAGCTTGAAGGATGCAAAGTATTGATCCTGGGTGTGTCCGTGAAGGTGTTGCCAAAGGAGATTAATATTTGAGTCAGTGGGCTGGGAAAGGGAGACCAACCCTTAATCTGGGTAGGCACCATCTAATCAGCTGCCAGTGTGGCTGGACCATAGAGCAGGCAGAAAAACATGAAAAGACTATACTGGCTTAGCCTCCCAGTCTACTTCTTTCTCCAGTGCTGGATGCTTCTCGCCCTTGAATATTGCATTCCAAGTTCATCATTGAGACTTGGACTGGTTTCCTTGCTCCTCAGCTTGCAAACATCCTGTTGCAGAATCTTGAGATCACGTGGGTTAATACAATCTTTTGTGTGTGTGTGTGTGTGTGTATAGATATATGTGTATATATATATTTATATATTTGTATACATGCACATTTATACATATATCTTTATATATATGAAGATTTATATGTATATATATAGATTTAGATATATATATCTACATATATCCTATTAGTTCTGTCCCTCTAAAGAACCCTGACTAATTTAGATTTTGATGCCAGGAGTGGTTCTAGAGGAACAGAATATTAAGGATGGAGTTCATTTGTTGGTTTTGAGGTTTCTGGAGTTGGCTGCTTGATATGATTACATCCAAAGATGGTAAGGACTCTACTTCTGATAGCATGGAAAACACTGATAGTTCTTGGCATGGACTGTTTAGAGAGTTATGCAAAATAAATCTGTTTGACACTCCTGATTCACCGCTCATGTGAGTCAAGGAGTTTAGTGTCTCTATACATAATGCCTTTGACTGTATGTGGAGAACTAAGGAACATGATGAAGTTGGTTGATTCCTCCTAAGTTCACTGGACAAAGTGATGAAAGAAAACAATGAACTCAGAGATTCTAACTCTCAGCTTCAGAAACAGATACCGAGCCTCAAATCTGCTAAGGTTGCTCTAAGAGTCCTATCTCCTGTAGAGAAAGAGCTGAAATTGTGGAAAATCAGACACAAGCTTTTATCATGCGAGTGGCTGACCTGCAATGAAAAATGCAGGCACAGTCTCACCAGGTGTTTACTGGTGAGGCATTCCAGTTAAAGTGAGGGCATTAATTGGAAAAAAAAATGGGACCCTGCAACTTGGAATGGGGATGTCTGGGAGGACTCTGATGAAGTTGAGGACACTGGGCATGTAAACTCCAATGAACATTTTTTGCCAGAAGAAACAGCATCCTCGACCCCAGTAGTGGCAACATCCCCTCCCGGACCCATGCTACCATCATCTTTTCTCCCTTTGACTGAGGAGATAAACCCCATGCTGCCTGAGGCAACAGTGATAGCCTCCCCTGAGGCAGTTGCCAGGCAAGATAATGACGATTTTCCTCAGGAGCCACCCCCAACTCCCTTGTTTGCTTCTAGACCTATAACTAGACAAGTACCAATGGGCCCCTAGAGGTGAGGATGAGAGTGTGACCCGTAAGGTAGTGTGCTACACTGGAAAAGAACTACTTGAGTTTTCTAATGTATATAAAAAAAAATATGGAAAACAGGCATGGGAATGGATATTAATGGTGTGGGATAATGGTGGAAGGAACATAGAGTTGGATCAGTCTGAATTTATTGATTTGAGCCCACTAAGTAGGGACTCTGCATTTAATGTTGCAGCTTTGGGAGTTACAAAAGGTTCTAATAGTTTATTTGCTTGGTTTGCTGAAATATAGATCAAAAATGGCTCACTGTGAGTGAGCTGGAAATGCCTGATTTCCCTTGGTTTAATGTAGAGGAAAGGATCCAAAGGCTTAGGGAGATTGGGGTAGTGGAGCGAATTAATCACTTTAGACCTACTCATCCCAGCTGGAAGAGTCCAGAAGCTGTACCCTTGAGCAATGCCTGGTGAAATAGATTTGTGAAGGCAGCACCTGCATCTTTGAAGAGACCTGTAACTACTCTTCTCTGTATGTCAGATCTTAACAGTGGGAACTGTAGTCACTCAACTACAAAATTTAAATACTATGGGAATAATTGCATCTCAAGGTGGCAGGGGCCAAGTGGTGGCACTCAGCTGTCAAAGGCAAGGTAGGCGTAGCTACCGTAATAGAGCAGAGACAAAGCAGCAATCAGAATAATCTGACTTGTGTAGAGCTCTGGCATTGGCTAATTAATCACGATGTTTCTAGAAGTGAAATTGATAGGAAGCCTACTGTATTCTTACTTAATTTGTATAAGCAGAAAACTTCCAGACTAATTTGAATTGTAAAGGCAAAGAATCACAGTCCCTCAATCGATTTTCAGACTTGAGCCAGTTTACAGACCCAGAACCCCTTGAATAAAGGGGAGGCTGGGTCCCCTTGAGGAAGGACCCCACTACACTACTGACAGTTTATGCTGTGAATCTTTCTCCCATCCTTCCCCAAGAAGACCTCCAGCCTTTTACCAGGCTAACTGTGCAATGGGGAAAGGGAAATGATCAGACATTTCAGAGACTATTGGACACTGGCTCTGAGCTGACGTTTAGTCCAAGGGACTGAAAACGTCATTGTGGTCCTCAAGTTAAAATAGTGGCTTATGGAGGTAAGGTATTTGTTGGAGTTTTAGCTCAGGTCTGACTTCTAGCGGGTCCATTGGGTCCCTGGACGCATCCTGTGGTAATTTTCCCAGTGCCAGAAGGCATAGACATACTTAACAGCTGGCAGAACCCCCTCATTGGTTTCCTGACTGGTAGGGTGAGGGCTATAATGGTGGGAAAGGCCAAATGGAAACCCCTAGAGCTGCCTCTACCTAGAGAAATAGTAAATCAAAAACAATATTGCATCCCTGGAAGTACTGTGAAAATTAGTATCACCATCAAGGACTTGAGAGATACGGGGGTGGTGATTCCCACCACATCCCTCTTCAGCCCTCTTATTTGGCCTTTGCAGAAGACTGATGGGTCTTGGAGAATGACAGTGGATTATCGTAAGCTTAACCAAGTGGTGACTCCAATTGCAACTGAAGTACCAGTTGTGGTTTCATTGCTTGAGCAAATTAACACATTTCCTGATACTTGGTATGCAGTCATTGATTTGGCAAATGCCTTTTTCTTCATTCCTGTCCATAAGGCCCACAAGAAGCAATTTGCCTTCAGCTGGCAAGGCTAG